ATATAACTTTCTTAAAGTAATCATAATATAAAAATTCACAACTGATTGACATTTGGAATCAAATTAACTGAGGATTGCCACACAGCTAATTGACCTTAGAACGCACGCATGGCTACATTTAAAGGAGAGGACCAAGCACTGAACCTTGGGGAACACCCTGGAATAGAGGGGTTATGGAGGAGGAGCAGCAGTTGATATGAATAAACTGTTGCCCGTTCATGACATGGGATTGAAACCATGACAGAGCAGAGCCAGTGATGTTCAGGTTGGATTTGAGACGGGACAGCTAATACTAAGCTAAAAAGAAAAAAGAAATATACAAAATGAAAATTTACTTTAGATAACAAAATCAGCTTCCAAAAGCCTTCCATACATGGAGATTGTCAGTTTTTTATCTTTATAAAGCCGCAACAACATAATCCAGAAGGATGATCAGGAAGGTGTTTTCTTATCACTAGAAATCTTGTGCTCTCCCTAAATTTAAAAGAATCGAGCCAAGCCTATGTTTGGTTATGATTATTTTTGGTAAGCAGAGAAATCCTCAGGTGCTTTAGGTATTGAATTATCCTTCTAAAAGATCATGGCCTTATTAAACACTCAGATTTTTTTTGCCTCTGCTACTTGTTGAAACATCTTCCAGACACTGGCATTAAGTGTGGGAGTTGATTTTCAGTCCATCTTCAACCTACAAAAGTCCAAGCAGCTCATTTTTAATGAAAAGCACTCGCTGCCTCAGCGTCGGACTTCAATTAGTTCTTTAGTGTTTCAGCCAGGGGCTCATTTTTCTGCTCCATAAAAAGGTCACTCTCATCTCAGCTCCTCGTGGAACCTTTTAAAGTCTACTTTCAGGATATTTGTGGCTCAGTTCTATTGCTTAAGTTAGTAAATAGTAATTAATTTTTTTTGTTGTTGTTGTTATTTTATTTGTTTTAGAACTTGACACCTGTGGTCCTACCAGGTGGTCTTTACCTTTGGGATATGACGACACAGAAAGATAACTTCCTGACTGCCTTTTTGTGTGTTTGTACCCAATTTATGCACATTTTCTCATCGAGCAAAACATTTTATAATCCAGTAGTCACAGTGGCTTATCTAGTTTTGTGTTGCAGCTTAGAACAGAAAAAAATTGGTACTGTTGAAGCTGAAAATGGCAAATACATCGGAGGCATCATGATTATCAGGGGTTTTGTCACAGCGACCCAGAGAAAACGTCTTGGAGCCAGAAGTCCTATGATTGCTTTGATAACATGTTCATCTGTGGAGAAAATGTCTGTTCAATATTTAATCTTTTGTACTTTAATTTCAAAATAACCAGAGAAATATGAGGATTTTGATGCTGCACTGAACAAGCACACAAATTGCTCCACTGTCAGAGCCATTAGATAGCTAGGTGATGCCAAATTTGTGAGTCATTTATTTATTGTGAATGAAAGAACTAAACAAACATTTATTTTTAATTTTTCTACATTATCCTTTCAACCATTTTGCCTTAAGTTATAACGCTGCTGAATAAAACTGTGCTCCTGAACTAAAAATAAAGGTCACACGCTTCCTTATTTCACAAATAGCCTTGACATAGCAAAAAATGTATACCAGTATGATCATATTTATTCATGTCTATAGTCTGATGTTGGCAAAAATACAAATGATTAAAAAAAAATCAATAGTCTATAAACTCACTATAGTTCATTACTACTGTACATGCAGTGTTTTGTCAAACCAACATCTTCCTTTGCTGTTTCTTCAAAAGATAACATTGATTTTAAATAATTTGAGTCAGCTCAGGTTAGTTATTGTCATATACGTCAACCATTGATATTTGTTTCTTTCTGAATATTTAGATTTATGATTCCTGTCTGTAACATCCTTCTTAAATTATTGTGAAATTCTTCAATAGGTTAGTCTTTTTTGTGTAACAAAGCAAGTTGCAAAGGAAAACTTCCATTAATGTAACTACTGTTTTGTTGCAGATAAGACAATAAAATTCTCATTAACTTGAGTTTTGTAAAACTGGAGTCAGGTTATTGTAATATCCCTTTTTGCTCTGTATTATCATTATTATCTTTATTATTACTGTATTACTGTAACATTTTCTCTAACTGCTGTATGATACTTTGAACTGAAGCTGAGTTTAACAAAATAAAAGACAAATTACAGCTTGATTCACAATTGTTTAACTTTAGGCCAAATTTATTCAATTTTATTCATAAAACTCATTTCAACATTCACACTCCAGTCAAGCTTCCTCTTGTTATTTAAGTGACAGTGGCAAAGAAATATAAAACATCCAAACTGGGATTAATTTGTTTTTTTGTGTGTGTTTATAAAAGTAAGTTGACTCAACTTGTTTTTTTAAATTGAATGTCTTCATTCTTTGTTCTATCCAAACAGTATTCTACAACAATATTAATATGAAACATCTCCTTGTACAAATGAGCCTGTCTTTAAAATTAATCAAACAGTAACTATAAAATACTGTACCTTTGATTAAAATAGTCAAAGTTCTTTTTTGTCCTTTTCGTTGCTTGGTGAAGAACAGCTTTTAATCTATAAAATTGCTTTAGGAGAGGTAAAACAATTGTGCATAAAATATTTCTTCTGTTTAATTTAGTTTTTAGTGGTTCTGAGTCAAACTTCCACAAACAGGTGTGGATCTTTGATTAATACAATAAAAAGCCTAATGTCTGCTCTTCCTTTTAGTAATGGTGTTTGGAGTATTGTTTGTCTCTCTGACGCACCTCTTGGTGACGTGTTGAAGTGAAAAATAGAGTAAACTATAGGGCTCTGAAACTATCATTTCCCTGTTAAGCATGATGTAAAATGTTGTTTACTTAAGACTCTGAGCTGAAATCACATTTGATTTTTAAGCTAACTTTAAAAAATGAAATGTTTGCTGGTTTAATTTGTATTAGCAAAGTCAATCTCGTCAATGTTTGAGTCTCGTTAAGTCTCAGGGATGGGTTACGAGAACAAATATTGATGTACAGACTTATAAAAAATGTATGTGGAAACCTGAAAGCCCTTTGGATATTGATGTTGCAGGATGGATGCGGAGAATGTTATTTATCTGGAGCGCATCTGTCACATGCTGCCCATCCTCCAGTCAAATGGAGAACAGAGCGCTCTCCTCTAAAACAGAAACAGTTCATCTCAGTGCATCCTGCATTCTGAACAAACAAGTTGTTCTCTGAAATATAAAGCTGCCAAAGCTACAGCTCTGCAATAACAAAATATTGTATTTGTTTTATTGTTTTTACCCTCTGCCTTCTCATATTAGCTGAACAAAATCAGTATTTTAAGTTGTGCATATTGTCCAATGAAATAACAATAAAAAGTAATGGAAAGGCTACTCCTAGTTTACACCCCCCCGTGTGTAAATTTACTATGATTAGAATAAGTGCAAGACCAGGTTTATTTATTATCACTGTTTATGTTGCTTAGCATGCAAGGATTCACCTTCACACAAGTATATCTTTCAAAAATGTAGCTAATCTCATAGTTGGTTTTTTCACAGCGGCAAACCAAAGGTTTTAAGATCTATAAAAGGTGCAAAGTACAGTATAATCTTAGTATCCATTCAAACCGGATCTATTTAGTTAAAATAATAAAATTAAATAAGTAGGGATGCATGATATTGGATTTTTGGCCAATGTCCAATATGTCAATATGTTAAAACTTATTTGGTCTATAACCAATACCAATATTGATTTTTTTTTCCCTAGACCTACTTACAGAGACTACATAGCTTTCTCTGCTGTAGAATTAAAATACTACATTATTCTGCACTGTCTATGTCAGTTTGGCCTGCTACCAAATGCAGATGCCAAAAAGGGACTGAAAAGGATGTAACACTTCAACCTGGATTATGTTTAATGCCAAATTTATTCACAATATTTATTCTCTCTAACACAATGACAACACTCGAACAGTGCAAATTTGTAAACTTTCACAAATCTAAACCCAACATGTTCACAAGCGACAAGTTAAAAGTGTATAAGTAGTAGTGCATTAATAGATATACTATCTATTATATATGCTATACGTCATAACATTGTGAGTAACAGCACCTTTTTTATCGGTGAGTTATTTTGATGGAATGACCGATGTCCGATATTTAACTTTATCTCTATTATCGGCCATACCAATACCATGCCAATAATATTGTGCATCCCTAAAAATAAGTGTAGGATCTTTGTCTTTTTGATCATTTCTGGTAGCTTGTGGTTAGGTTATACTCCTTTTTGTTTTTTCTTTTTTTATCTGAGATTCTTGTGTTTGACTCTGTTTCTTGAGTGTTCATTTGATTATTTCTTTTGAGTTATATTCAGTTTCCTCAGTGCCATCAGTTAATTCTGTGTCTGCTCTGCCCTCTCTCACCTGTCCTTCATCAGGCCAGGTGTTTCATAGAGTCCCTCAGTTTTCACTGTATCCTCAGCTGAGCATTGCTGAGCTTTTTGCCACAACCGGTTGTCCTCGTGTGTCCTTGAGATTCTTGTTGCTGCCACGTCAGCCTGTTTTAATATTATTAATGTTCATAAAACAATTTAATTTAATTTAACAAAATTCTAAGTAATTTGTTAAATCTTTAGATTTTATTCAAGTTCTTAATGTTCATTTGACATTCTTGGGTCCAATCTTCTCCTGGAACTGTGACAAATATCAATTTAAATAAATAAATAAATAAAGTTAAAATTGTAGTTCAAATTCCTTGACTTGATTAAAAACTACATATTTCCACAAAATAATAAAAAAGAACTTACGGGTATCACTGACATGTTTGTCACATATATTGCACTGGCTACAACCATTAAAATATATTTTTACTACAGCTCTTTTCAAAATGATGTTTAAGTACAGAAATGAGAATTATATAAACTAATTATGCTAGTTTTCTTGTATTTACATTAAAGAATGTTAGAGAAAACCTGTGCCATTAATACGTTTATTTTTATATGTCATAGCACACTAAAGTATTTTCTCTAAAGATACTTGAAATACTGTGTTCCTTTTAGGAGCATTCAGCCACACACCTTGGATTTAATGGAGTTAAGCAGAAAAGATTCTTAAAAATGTCAAAAAATTCTTAATTAAATAATTAAATGACAGTGTTGTTTGTCACAATTTACAAGATTAGTATATCATTTCGATGCTTAGTGTTTATTAGTATGAAAGAAAAAAAAGAAAAAAAATCAAAAATAATAAAACTTAAATCCCAGTTAACATTAATGTCTCTCATTAAATACAAATACAGTGACGTATGTAAAGGCAGTGTGCACATATATATGTTTTGGCATTTCTATTTTAACACTCAAAGTTCCTGTTTGTGGACTACATTTACTTTGTTCGAAGTCTCTGGATGCCGTCGCTGTGAGAAATGTCTGCTTCTGCTCTTGACTGAGGCTGCAGACAGTCAGAATCTCTGTACTCCCACTCGTCCACACTGGCTGCTATTCCCATTCTAAGGCTTGGAAGAAAAAAAAAATCTGTTTTCTGTACAGACACTGTGAGAAGTAACGTTCAGCTGTGAGTCAATGACCTCCACAGTAAATAACTTAAAACACCAATTGGACAATTCTTTGATATTTGTAATTTCTCCCTTTTTAACGTTTTATATGACACTGTTGATTGGTTCACTCAAACTATAGTTTCACTGAAATTACATTTAAAACTTGTTTATTTAAGTTAAAATCTAAAAGTTAAAGTCTAAAAATGTATTTAATGAAAGTAGCATTTATTGAAGGAATGCATGTTGCCTGCTCGTTTACATACCAATGTTTTAAACAAAGATTTTGCACAATCTGTACGAGGTCAGCATGTTTCTGCTGCCACACCAAATACCAGTTTAATCTTTGCTAAACTTACTGAGTTACTGCTATTTTTTGTGTTTTCCAATGCCACTTGGTTGTTGCAGCCATATTGAATCATGTGACTTCAAAAGTGAATCAGTGTACAGCAGAAGGATATACGCTCTGTGAGTTTCATGAAATCGTTTTTTCTCCATTTTAGGCTGCCTTCAGGTCTAGGCCTCCTTTGCAAAAGAGATCTTTGATCTTAATGGGATTTGCCTGCATAAATAAAGGTTAATAAATAAATTCACAAGATATTTTATTAACAAACAAGCAAACTGAGAACATTACCATGATTCCCCACCTTTCATGCCAGCAAGCCATAATACAAAACAGCTTTACTATTAATTCTGTTACATGTTCTAAAATCATGGAGCAAATTACTTTGTGTTATATCATTCTAATCCTAATGTATGATAAGTGAGGTTTTTTGGCAGCCATGTTGTGAAGGTGACAAAGAAATGTGTTAAAAATAAAAATGACTGGACAAGTTTCATTTCTTACACTTTTTGTCTAAATGTAGAAATATTCTGTTTAATGGATACAACTTGTTACCTAAATGTCAGGCTGTGGTACATTGAATACTGAGTTTAGCTGCTTGTGGATTTGAACATGACAATGCCGGAATACATGATGATTATGAAAATTACAAGAAATGAAGGCTTGAAATATTTCACTCTACTTTGTGTAATGAATCATATGAGTTTTACTATCTGAAATGATTTACTTATTTTTTTTAATTTTCACAATACAGTAATCCCTCGTTTATTGCGGGGGTTCGGTTCCGAACCCGTCCGCAATAAGTGAAATTCCGCAAAGTAGCGACATTATATTTATTTTAGTATATATATATATATATATATATATATATATATAAGCTTTATAAACCTTTCCCACACTCTTGCAATGTTCTAAACTCTTAAACCTACGTCATTTTAACAACATACGTACAGTACTGTATACCTGTAAATTTTACTTACCATACTCTGCAGAACACAGCAATAGCTCTCGGTTCTGGTCCAACTCTGTTCCAGTCCTACTCGGTTCCGTTTTTGCAGATGCAACCTGCAGCGATGAAGCTCACAATCAATGTTCTAAACTCTTAAACCTACTAATTTTAACAACATACTTATATGTAGCTACTAAATTTGACTCACAGGTACTTGCTCTCGGGTTCACCGCTGAGTCTGGAGATCCATTTCTGATCCAATTCATTGTAGCTCTTGAGTGCCGAAGCGCATTTGTGTGTTGAGGGTGGAAGACCTTTTTTTGGCTGGCATGGGTCCGTAGGTGGTCGAATTGCGTCTAAGTCTGGATGAAAAAAGTCCTGATGGGCTACGGAAACAGCTCCGGAGCTTTCAGCGCACATCCTCGTGGGCCACTACCTGTTCTCAAGATTCACCGATGGGCCTGGAGGTCTGGTTCTGCTCTGGTTCTGGTCCGGTTTGATGGGTTCAGTGGGGCTTCTCTGCATCCGCTGGGCGTTGATCAGATCAAAACCTTCCCTCTGTTTTTTTCGGCAGATGGAAGCGGGGCTTCTGGGCGGGGCCTGTTGCCTTCTGGGAAATGTGGTCATTATAAGTGGGAATACAGTGGAGGCTTACTGAGAGAAAACTACAAAATAATGGCGCCTGTCCAACATATTTTATGTTTTTGTTAACTTTTTACTGTACAGTACTGTATCCAGTACTGTCCCAATCATAATATTAAAGTTGACAATCATGTGTCCTGTACAATTTCTTTTTGTACAATATTATGGACAGTACGTCGACAAATTGCGATAGAGCGATTCTGCAGAAGTTGAACCACGAAGTAGCGAGGGACTAGTGTTTTCCAATTTTTTTAGATGCACCTGCAGTTACCAGTTGGTAGCATAATGTTCTAGCAGAAAGGAACTGATCCAAATGTCCTTAAGTTCACCTGTAGCTTGTCAGCCAGGATCAGGAGCTGCTGTGGTGGTATGGCTTCGTCCTGCCACTCAGATGCTGCAAGGAAGTTGTTACAGAGAATACTGGAATCCTAAGAGTGCTAGTGTATTTAATAGAGATTGTGTGCTACATGTATCCATTTTCTTTTTTTTTTTTTTTTTACATTTTCTTCCACGTGTACTTAATTTTGTTCTCCTTGTTAGCAGAAGTTGTACCTGAGAGAATGTGATCACGGTGGGCTAAAGTCTACTATTCAACTTCACTGACTTTCAAACTAATATCTTTAATACTCTTTTCCTTGCCAGTTAAAAGCTTTTTTTTCTGCCTTTTTGAATCTTTAAAAGTAGACAGAAGTTATAGCTTCAGTCCGTTTGTACAGTCTTTACTGTAAGAAGGAGACAAATGAAAATGTTGCAGCAACTCCTGCTGTTGCTGCAGCAGCGTTGACTCACCGCAGAACAGATAAACGAGCTCCACAGTTTCACCGAGTTTCACTGCAGACAGTTGCATTATTAAAATAATTTAATTTTATGTTGTGTTGCTCCTGTGATAATGTGAAATAAATCCCCCTTACATGCTGAGTTACACTCATCCTCAGAAGTTTTGATCACATAAGAATTGATCATAAGTTCTAATTGCACCTCATGCATGAATGCATAGATTTATTGCATTCATTCTGCATTAAGTGCACATTAAGAGCAACAATTTGTTTCATTTATGTTGGCCAAGAAGTGAATAAAACAGAATTTGTTGAGAAAGCAGATTTATGCTATCTTTTAAGATTGAAGGTTGTCAAAGTACATCTTTACTGCACATTTTCTTAAAGTTTTCCTCCATGCTGACAGGTTGTGCTGTGGCAGGACACTCGCTGGTTTAGGGCACAAGCTGCCATGCCATTTGGTTGTCTCACACTTGGGGAGAAGAAGGATTACAACAGTCCGTCGGAGGTGGCCGACAAATATGACCTTGGACAAGTTGTTAAATCGTGAGTACTTCTACGCTTGAGTCAATTCTGATGAGAAACGCCAACGGAGTTCATGTGAATTACAGCAAATTGTGGTGTTTTTCTGCAGAGAGGAGTTCTGTGAGATATTTCGGGCGAAGGACAGGAACACCTTGAAAATGTACACGTGTAAAAAGTTCCACAAAAAGGACGGAAGGAAAGTGAGGAAAGCTGCCAAGAATGAGATAATGATCTTAAAGATGTAAGTAAAATATTCAGATTCTTAGTGTAGTCTAAGGGACAGTCTTTTTTATTAAGAAAAATGCATTGACTTGTGAGATGTGGAAAAAAAGAAGAAGAGGGCAACATGTCCTGTAACAGTTTGCATGCTGTCAGAGAGATACACAATACAACCCCATCTTTGTTTCAGTCTTGTCCAAAAACACTTTAAAATAATCCATAAATCACGCTGAATTAAATAACTTTGTTACATTGTTCTGTGTCAATTGCACAGATTCTGCTGTAATAAATATACTGTATCATATAGCTAGAGACATGCAGCTGAAAATAGTTCCCATACTGTCAGCCTCTGCAGTGCTTCAAAATGTCACCTGCAGCTGTCCTGAGGGTTTATGATGACATGTGGGCAGTGTTTTGAGGCTTTAGTTCATTTATTAGTTATATCCTAACCGTCATAAATATCTAACTTTCTGTTTATCATATTAACTTGTTCCTAAATGTCATATTTTTTCCCTACATCTGAAACTTTTCTTGTTATTTAAAGGGTAAAACATCATAACATCCTTCAGCTGGTTGATGCATTTGAAACTAAGAATGAGTACTTCATATTTTTGGAGCTGTAAGTAAGATCACAACAGTTTTGCATGTTTGTCTTTAAAAAACGTAAACATTCAGGACACTAATATCTTATCTGCAGTGCAACAGGAAGAGAGGTCTTTGACTGGATCCTGGATCAAGGTTACTACTCGGAGAGGGACACCAGCAACGTTATGAGGCAGGTGCTGGAGGCTGTGGCTTACCTGCACTCTCTGAAAATCGTCCACAGAAACCTGAAGGTGTGTTGCTCTGCTGACATCTACTGGACAAATGCAAACGAAACTCAATACAAAGATCAGCTTTAAAAGCAGTTCAGGATGCCATATTTACCCCCCCCCCCCCCCCTTCTTTTTTTATTATTTTAAAATCAACTTTCTAATTCTGCCCAGATGAAAAACATCACTAAAAATCAGGTGCACTTATGGCCACATTTTGGAAATGTTTAACATGGTCAGTAATAACAAAGTCCATGCTCAATAATCCATGTCAGTAATAGCTTGTACCGTATTTTTCAGACTATAAGGCGCACTAAAAATCCTTAATTTTTTTTCAAAAATTGACCGTGAGCCGGGCAGCACGGTGGTGCAACTGGTAGAGCTGCTGCCTCTCAGCGAGCAGGTCCTTGGTTCAAATCCCAGTACTGGGGCCTTTCTGGGTGGAGTTTGCATGTTCTCTCCGTGCATGCGTGGGTTTTGTCCGGGTACTCCAGTTTCCTCCCACAGACCAAAAACATGCATGTTAGGCTGATTGGTAACTCTAAATTGTCCCTAGGTGTGAGTGAGAGAGTGAATGGTTGTTTGTCTCGTTTGTCTCTATGTGTCCCTGTGATGGACTTGCGACCGTCCAGGGTGTACCCCGCCCCTCGCACAGTGATTGCTGGACACGGGCACCAGTGACCCCCGTGACCCAAAATGGAAGAAGTGGGTAAAAGATGATGAAAGGATGGATAGATGGATGACAGTGAGCCTTATAATCCGGTGCCTTATGTATTAATTCTGTTTGTGCTTACTGACCTCAAACTGATTTTATGTGGTTATTGTGAATGAGTTGAATAAAGTTTGACTTATCTGACTGTTTTGTTTCTCTTAATGCACCTTTTAATCCCAAAAATACGGTAGTTGCATTTCTACTTTTTAATTTATGTGTTTAATGGGAGTGGTGGTGCAGAGGTTAGAGAAGGTGGGCCTGTGATCGGAAGATCCCGGTTCAACTCCCGGTATCGACAATATTAAAATATGGGTGGGATAGGTGAAGCACCCACACCTGCCTCCACCCTCATTTGCCCCACTCTGGGCCCTTGAGAAAGCCTTTAACCCCCACCACACCATCTGCTCCCCCGGGAGCCATAGATAGCAGCTCTCTGCTCCACACAGAGGGCTGTGGTAGCTCGGTGGTCTGTGGTTCCGCCAGGAAGGGCATCCGGCATAAAAATAATTGCCAAGTCTTCGTGCGACTTAGTTCACTGACTGTGGCGACTCCTGAAGAAGGGAGCAGTCGAAAGAAGTAAATAATAATAATAATAATAATGTGTTTAATAGTTTAGAAGTTGGAAAAATTCTACATTTGAGTTTGTGTGACTGATCACACTTTTTTGCCTTTGGTACAAATATAATTTAAACTCTGTAAAGCAGTTGTAGCTTTTACATCCCTATAATGTTTGGGTCTGATTTGTCAGACAGTTGCAACCACTTCTGACTACATCTCTGGATTTGGATTGTTCAAAGCTGTTAACCTTATAAAGGCTTAGTCATCAAAATTTTGCAGTAATAAATTAAGCTTCATAGCAAGTTGTATGAATATTTCTGTCCATTACTTTGCTCTTTCTTCCATTGCACACCAAATCAACTTTTTTTTGATCATGAGACAAATAAATATCATCTCAGAGTATGATCAATCTTCTGATCACTTTTCCAAAAAATGAAATATTGTACTTTATTTAATTGTACAAACACAAGCATCTTTGTTCATTGCAGCTGGAGAACTTGGTGTACTATAACCGTTTGAAGAACTCTAAAATTGTTATCAGTGACTTCCAGCTGGCAAAACTGGAAAATGGGCTCATTAGGAACCCATGTGGGACTCCAGAATACCTTGGTGAGTCATTTTTAACAAGTAATTTAATTACCTTGTTGTTTTCCAGTAGAAACAAACTATAATCAGTGTCTTTCAAACAGCTCATCAGAACATTTACTTTACTTTTAGCTCCTGAGATGGTTGGAAGGCAGAGATATGGAAGACCTGTGGACTGCTGGGCTATTGGTGTCATCATGTATATACTGTAAGTGACAGAATCTCAAGGTTTTTCATCATTATCTGACAGAAGTGTCTCACAAAGGGTTCCAATTAAAAATCCACTGCTTTTACAACAGTTTATCTGGGAACCCTCCTTTCTATGATGACTCTGATGAAGAGGACTCTGATAATCGTGATAAGAACCTTTTCCTAAAGATTTTGTCTGGGGACTATGAGTTTGATTCCCCGTACTGGGATGACATCTCAGATTCTGGTAAGAGATATTTACTGTATTAGGCCTTTGTGTCTGCATGAGCTATGTCAGAGGAAATGTACAAAAAGTCTAAATAACTGAATAAAAAATAAAAAATCTGAGATT